AAACGTACCTTTGATTGCACGTCAAAAAGCGCTTTCGTTTTTTCACCGGAAGTTAAGACTCTGATGTACAGCTGAACTAAGTCAACTTTAGGCAATTGCCATGAATACACGAAATTTCACCAATACAGCAAAGACAAAATTTCGTTTGGAACGAATAGACACACAAAAAAGGGAAAGAAAACATTCGCGAGCGGAGCGAGCGCGAAATTTTTCGTGATCTTAAGTGTTAAGCCACTACTAGGCGCTCTAAAACGCTCATAGCGTTTTTACCCTATTTCACACCATCTGCATTCAGGGACTGACAGAGAAGAGTTAATGCGAGCGAAGCGAGCGAAATTTTTCATTCAAGGGGTGGAATGAGCACCAAAACGCGTCTAAAAGGGCGTTTTTCATAGCTCGCAATCATCCGCCGGCAATCGGCCATGGCTTCTAACGCCAAAGTACAATATTTTCCCGGTTGCAGACTAAATTCCCGGCTTATTCCCGGTTTTTTCCCGGCGCTAAAAATTCCCGGCTTATTCCCGGATTCCCGGAAATTCCCGGTGAGTGGCCACCCTGACGATGCTCTTTCTGGATGTGTAAGTAAAATGTTTTTAGCCTTTCTAGTGACTGAAGTGTAAGTCAAAACGATCACTGGTTATTTCCTTACATTTCAGGCGAGTATTGTGGGCTACAGAACTGGAAAGGTCCTTTTCTATGCGGTCAGGAACAAGTTCTGCCAGATTTGTACACTTGCTCGTAAGAGGCGCCGGACACCAAAGCGGCATCAATGCTTCAAAGACTTTGAAGGCGCCAGCACAAAAATGGAGACAGAAATAATTCTGGAGGGGTTCCAGGCTAGTGAAAAAATGCATAAAGTCCGATATCTTGAGCTAGTTGGTACGTAACTCACACCATGTATGCAATGGTCACCAGAGCGGACGGCACAGTGTTGCGGGTTTGCCTAACTCGTGCCGGTCAGTCCTGTTTTAGTGGCCTAGTTATTGGTTCTGTCAGAGAATGATGTTGCTACTGAGTCGTCTGGTCCTTGGTTTATTTAACACTCTTTCAACCAGCACAATATCCCACACTCACCGCTGCCTACACGCGACTGCCCGTCTCCAGCGCCCCGAGGGCTTCCCTTGCCTCGCGGACCCTCGCCGCGGCCGCTGGTCGCCGAGCGGCAGGCGCGACGGAGGAGGGGTGCATTGCTGAATTGCACTTTCCGCCGCCGTCGCCTCTACCGCCCGCGCCGCGCATGTTCGATACTTATTGAAACGCTCGTTATCTACCTATAACATCTAGGGCGCCGGAAAAATAGTCGCCCCGACTACCCCTTCTAGTCCTATCCCTTTTACGATGAAAGTTAACTACTGAGTTTAAGACAATTTTTTTTTATAACAAATAAAACAAATCCCTAAAGAAAGATACGGAAGTTATACACCAAAATAAAATAAAATAAACGAATTGAAGGCGGTGAGTGTGGAATGAAACTTATTTTTCTATACAACAACTTAACATTAAACAAGGTAAAACTAAAATCATGCCAGTGCAAGCTACACCTGCAAAAAATCAAATCATATACGCACAAATAATGGCTACAATGCCAAAAAAAAATCTAAGTATTTCCGCATGAACAAAACACATGCTACCCTACAAAAACAAATCCTGTATGCAGAAACAACATGCCACACTACAAAAAAAAATCAAATCCTATATTTACTACACTGCAAAATTCAAATCAATTCGTCTCAAAGACAAGGTACACTAAGAAAAAAATCATACAGGCACAAACACAAGGTGCACTAAAAAAAAGAACAAAAAAAAACTCAAATCAAACAATACAAAACCAATAAGTCTTAGTGGTTCATGTCCCTATTTTTCTACATCTTCTCGCCAGGCAAGTATTTTCATCTAGACCTTTCCTCTGTATGACTGATGGCGGACTGCGACGCTGCCTCTGGGGTTGTCTCTTCATCCCAGGTGATAAATGTCGAGATGGGCCAGAACTAACCTGACTTTGTATACAAAGTCAGGTAGTCTAACCTGAACGGCGTGCCTAACACCTTCCGAACAGGTTACCAAACAACTTTCTCACTCCTTACAGGACTAGAGAAAGAGGCGGCTGGACTTCCCTCGATGGGCCGGTTGATGTTTAATATGACAATTTCTGGTCCATGCCTTGCTTCTTCTTTAGTATGTAAACATACTTTTGTTTCTTCATATTTACATTCACAGTGGTAGTAAGTGAATGTAAACCAATTTCTTCATATATATATATTGTTTATATCTTCTTTCCAATTTTTGCAACAATGATTGTCAACTAAATCTTCTCGGCATGGACCCCGGCTGGTGATTGGCTAGCGCCGCGCCTCGCCCAGGTGGAGCTGATCGACACCCCCTGGTGACGACGGTCGGTGGAATTCCCTCTGGATGGAGTGGTGGCCCTCCTGGGCCTGGGGTCGACTCGTCGCCAGCGTAGCGTTGTTGATCACATGATGGGTCATACAGAGGTCCAGTTGTCGACTACTTTCCCACCTGGCTGGTCCCTAATCTAAAAACTAAAAAAAAAATAACAATTCACTCATTTTTTATTTTTTTTTTTTTTTTTTTTTTTTTCTTTTTTTTCGAATTTTAATTGCATTTACGCTGATTGTATACTAAAAACACTGCCAAACCTTCTGGCAGGTACTGGAGTTTTACCTTCTCTTTTATTCGTACTACTCTCGTCATGAGGACACGATTTTATTTCAGGTGACTTATTCACACAAGAATTGAAGTTAATCCATGGAAAGCGGAATTTTACATAGCAATATACTATACCGCACAGACAGGTGATAATTGTGAACCAAAGGCAGATTTCAACCCATCCACTCGAAGTGATGGGAATATTTTTCCAATTTGAAATATTTTTACCATTAAACTTCTCCAATTTGATTAACGACAGCGCGTTATTGGTCACATTTTGTACTTTATATTTCTCATAGGTACGTTCAGTAATGAACAACTGATAGGGCTCGAAACCTTCCGAAGCCCAATCCATATTAATCGAAACGGTATTGTTGACATTAAGATTTAAATTACACGTTCTGAGCGCTGACACAAGCGTTAGCTGCGAGCCACTTGTCTCCTGCACAGTGCAGTGGCATGGCACTACAATCTCCACTCGTCCGTTAATTAAAGGGTCAATATTTTTTAGAAAGTTATTACCACAGATGACAGCAATTGTCGATCCGGGATTTAAAATTGAATATTTAGTTTTGCTTAGTAATTGTACGGACGAGTAAAATGTGTCTGCACAGTGCAGGTCACAAGCATTCGCGATATCTGTTACATCGGCCTGCTTCAGCAGCCGTTGAATACAAGTGGACAAACTGGATTGTGAATTATGCCTCGGCAACACATAAACATCCAGGCCGCCAACCTTGGGTACATCAGTTAAATCTCTAATTTCGATACCATTTGTCGCAATCAGTACTCTGTCTTTTACAATTTGACATGTCTGCCCCCCCAACAAAAACTTAACCGGTTCGATTGACATCACCCTCCATTCTGCCCGAGCATCTTTGAGTGGCACGTCTAGAGAAATTTCTAATTTACTCTTATTGATTAATTTGCATGAAACTGTTTTTAAACGATAATATTCGGCCACATTTTCCAAATTAAATGCAAGTTGCATAGCATGCCCCTCCAGCACTCCCTGCTCTTTGCTGAGAGCTGCTCGCAGGGTGTCGGGATCCACCACAATTTTTGGAAGCAAGTTATCTTGACATTTGTCATAAATGGAACGTAAGGCCAACAGGTGTGATTGCAAGATATTAATTTTATTAAACAAAGTTTGCGTGCTTACCATTTTTAGCACCACTACATCAAATGTATTACCCTGTTGACCGATTTCCTTTACCAATGAATTATAAACTCCAGAGAAGTACTTCAAGTTTTGTTCCAGTTCAATTTGATGTTTTTTCAGGGTTTCAAAGTTCTGCTGAGAAGCAGTGATCAGATTTTGATGAGAATCGGATAATTCTTTTAAATTTTGTCCTAAAGTATTTGTTGCCTTTATTGCTCTATTTAACTCCCTATCCGTTGTCATGCCAAACAGCCAGCCAAACCCTTCTCCCAGAATAGGAAGGAGAGACCGTTTGGTTCTTTTTGAATTTAGATCGGTTAAATCATCAGTTCTGGTAAAAATTGTTTGTAGTTCCAATAAGAGTTTTTCTGACATCATATCTATTCTAGTTAGGGTTTGGCAGGCACGCATTGAGTTTTCCGGGATATGGGCCGGACAGACAGACTGATTAATATTTAATTTAAAGTCCATAGACGGCAAATTTACTTCAAATTTCACTTGCAAATTGCCCAACGAAATTTTGGATTCTGATAGTTTTATTTGCACTCCCTTAGTCTCAGCAATAACTATGGGAGTGTTGATGCCTTCTACTTCACTGAATCCATTACTGATGCATAGTGTGGCGAAGAGCCACAAGAGAAGCTTCACTACCATTTTTGAGTTTGGTAGCCTGTCCATGCCCATACCCTGCAAACAAATATATTTAAATAATTAGAGTACAATATCGCGTTGGAGAGAGAAGGTGAGACTATACTGGCTCAAAGATGGTGCATATAGACTGTCACAGGGTCATATTTCAACACCCTTGTCAATATTTCCAAAACAATATGCTCTGGTATTTTATCTCGTCCGCTCCCCAATTTCGGGACGGCGAGTTCACGGATGTTATTAAATATTAAGAATTTACGTAGATTAGTGATAGACTCCTCAAAATCTTGTGCATTAGGCAACTCAAAGTAGCGACTTTTAGTGATGAGATTAACTATAAATCGCTCGCCCCTTCGCAGTGCTACAACAGAGCCAATGCCCCTTGGAGCTTGCAGAAAATTTTCTCTTAAGTTGAATTTAGCATGAATGCTCCTGGCAATACCTGCCCCCATTTTGCCATCTAAGCTCACACAATGAGCTATACTCATGTATGGTGGGCAGTCGAAAATATCCCCCTGGATATGGACTAACTTCATAGTGTTGAATTTAACGTGTCGTACGGAATTTATCTGAAATTGAAACAAGGTATTAGACACCGTGACTTGCAATAATAAGGCATATCAACTCCAGGAAGGAAAGAGAGAAAAAAAAAATAGAAGACAATAGGAGAGGAAAAGAAAAGAAAAGTATTAGAGATTCTATCTATTCCCCTTTTAATCTGCTCTCTGACCTCCATATACAATCAGCAATATTTGAGAAGAATTTCTCCTTTATTTAGAAGTATTCACTTCTTTCCACAACAAGTAAGTATTTTCATACAGGCGAGCAACAAGTTATTAATTTCCATAGAATTTCGAACAAATCACTAGTTTCCATTTCCAAAGAGCGACCTATCCTAAACTGACGCACCCCACCCCACTTGCCAGGTGCAATGGAGTCGTCTTCCCCCTTTTATCCCAATAAAATTAAGTGCATTAAAAAGTGCTATACTTCCATTCATCTCTTTTTATACTTTTAATCTGTTATCAGCTTCTATATTTCTTTCACCTAGTCCCTTTATCTCTTTCCATTTTATTGGCCATTTCTCTATATTCATCATATTCATCCATTTCGTTTTTCCATTCATTTCATACATTGATTATTATTTTCATTCATCAATACTTCCATTTTAAGCTTTATTTTCACCCAACCATCTACTTGTTCCAGAAGCCACTTGCAGAGATTGTACACTCTCCCCAAGTTACCTTTGTCTCAATTTACAACTGATTTTTCACAGCTGGAACAAGAGATAGTACTCGCGAGTTAAGGGTTTCCATTTGAGTTAAATTCCAGGTTCTGGCTCCAACATTGCAACCCCCCTTTATTTTTACTCTAGGTCCCTATCTAAGCCGGCTGTAATCTAAATTATATCTACAGTTGAACGTTCAGCCAGTACCTGACAATTTCCCCAATTAAACACAAAAACATTTGTTCTTTTCTATTAAGCTCCTTATTTCCCCCTTTATTTATTTTCTTAAACCTTTAAAGTCTCTACACTAGCACCGATTAACTTGTTGCTCCCATTTATAAATTTTTATGGCAATATTGCTATTTCGAAAAGGTCCCTATTTTAATTAAGTTGTGCTTTTTTTCTTCTTTTTTTTTTTTTTTT